ATGATAAGGTTTCCCGAATTTAGTACCCAAAGTATCTCAAATAGAATGATAAGGTTTCCCGAATTTAGTACCCAAAGTATCTCAAATAGAATGATAAGGTTTCCCGAATTTAGTGAAAAAGTGTCTCAAAGAGAATGATAAGGCTTCCCGAATTTAGTACTCAAAGTATCTCAAAGAGAATGATAAGGTTTCCCGAATTTAGTACCCAAAGTATCTCAAATAGAATGATAAGGTTTCCCCAATTTAGTAACCAAAGTGTCTCAAAGAGAATGATAAGGTTTCCCCAATTTAGTAACCAAAGTGTCTCAAAGAGAATGATAAGATTTCCCAATTTAGCACCCGCATAAGCATTTTTCCAATTTTTCACACCTTTGACTAAGCTCATTACAGTCAATTGTTTTTAACTGACTGAAGAAGGAAAACAGATTTCCAATACTTTCGAAGGCTTCTGCACGTTTAGTCAGGTGAGAGTGTAGAATAGGAAGGTATGTTTCCAACTTGAATTTTTCACTTTCGTGGAGAAGTATCTGTTCCGCTGATCCATCATATCTGGTAAGACGCACACTTCGCTTTCTTGCACGTTTGTCTCCATCGCTATATTTCAAATCTGGGCACCTGCTTTTAGCCTTGGCTTCATACTCACTGAATGTGTCTCTCATTTCCCGAAGATAGGCTTTCAGAGACTTAAGGAGATCAATGGCAACAAGTATGTCCACATCTTGTGACTGCAAAATTTTACTTGTTTTGTTCACTCTTTCCAGAATGTCATTCCAAAGAATTGTCAAAAAGATAGTCTCTAGCTTCTCCATTTTCTTGCTCAATCCTTCTGCCTCGCGTCTTGTGTTCCACTCGTGATCAGCGTCAACTACAAGGGCATCCAATGCATCTTGAATTTTCTCGAAACCTCCATGAAGAGCAGTGACAGCATCGAAATGTGCTGACCATCTCGTGTCAGAGAGACACTTGACCACAATATAATTCTTTACAAAGGATGACGTCAGAACATTCCAGCGATGTGTGGAAGCCAAGTAAAAGGAATGCAAGCTCTGAACAAAGTCAAAGAAGGAGACGATCTGTGGACCACACTCTGCCGCTTTTACTCCCACCAAGTTCAGACTGTGTCCAGCACAAGGAATGTAGATAGCAAATTCATTTAGTTCACGGATTTGAGGCATTGTCATAAGACTGATCACGGTCGTTTGATAACGAATCTTGTTCTCTTGCAGGAACTCTACAACTGTGTCTGCTAAATTTTTCGCCCCTTGAGAAAAGATGGGGATGAATTTGAGGAAACGTTCCACCGGCTCACTTCCACGAATGCACCGGACAGTAACTGTCAGTTGATCAAGATGTCCGGAGTGGAATCGACACTTATTGAATAATACTTTAACTCTTTGATATCTTCCAGAATTGCTCAAAATACCCGTTGTCCCATTATTTCAATAAATTATTCACAAATGTTTGCCGATAGATATAATGGCTTCCTCTTTCCAGCATTTCCGTCCACTTTTAAATGTTCTTCCAAAAAAAAGGGCCAAACTCACTCAATAGTTCTAGAATGCCAAGAAAGTTTCCGTTTGATTCTCCCCACGAAATGCCAAACCTCTGGAGGCAAGAAAGTGGATAACAGAAACGACACGCTTTAACACTTTATGCCAGTACTCCTTTTGTTAACAATGCTGACTTAGCAATGGAGAATCCACACAATCACTTCCTTTGTGCCGAATCGAATATTCCAACAGGCACCTACGATGTTCTTCTCCATTTTCGTGCTCTACAACGACATTGCTGTGTTTCCAATCATTGAATCCTGATGTAGCGAAAGGAGATTCTTTCTTGGACAATAGACGACATGGAAAGCGATACAAACAACCTTTGGATGGTGAATATAGCAGCCATTCGCGTTTTATAAACTCGCCATTCCGCAGTTCACGTTTGAATAATTTGTTTGTTAAATATCTCATCTGTGTTTTTTCTCCTTCACCACACACACGGCGGGAGTCCGAAAAGTCGTAATCGTAATTTTGATATTTTGTCTGCACATTGAGAATCCAGTGGTCTACTGTAGCAGTATCTCTCGTGTTCCATAGTCCTGGATCTGTCAGAGCGTGGTCGTAAATCACATTCACATTCTCGGTTACCGTTGCGGATTCGTGTATTTATTCTATTAGTTCACTGGGAGAAGGAGCTCGTGTATCTGGAACTGGGAGATCAGATGAAGAAGTGCTTGGAGGAGTGGAAGTAAGTGTTGATGCTGTATCCAGATCAGGAGCAGTAGCTTTTGCAGAAGTGGTGAACCAAGCCGATAACTTTGAAAGTTTGCTAAGTTTCCCTTTTTCCTCTGCAGTTCATTTTTCATCTTCTGTGCTCCACTAGCATATGTATGCTTAATTTCTGTTAAAAAAAGATGTAAAATTATAATTTACAAAAATTAGAAATGTACATCTTGAAAGGTCCGGCATGGCCAGGTGGTTAGGGAGCTCGACTCGCAATCTGTGGGTCCGGGTTCGAATCCCCGTCACACCAAACATACTCGCCATTTCAGCAGTGGGGGCGTTATAATGTGACGGTCAATCCCACTATACGTTGGTAAAAGAGTATCGGTGGGTAATGATGACTAGCTGCCTTCCCTCTTGCCTTACACTGCTAAATTAGGGACGGCAAGCACAGATAGCCCTCGTGTAGCTTTGCGCGAAATTCATAACAAACAAACAAGCATGTAAGTTAGGTCAGTTCATGTCTGTTTCTTAAAAGACGAAGTTTATAAAACGTTGTTTAAAGTTCTAAACACTCATCGATGTTATCTTTCGGTCGTTTTAAAACATCATTTAGAAAACTTATTCAGAATTAGACAATTAGACACCTTTATTTACAAATAAATGTTTTAGTCCTATGTCGCAGTATCATTGTCTGAGAAACATTGCATTTCCTTTTCTCTTCTGTGCTCCACTAATATATGTACGCTTCATTTTTGTTAAAAAAAGATGTAAAATTATAATTTACAAAAGTTAGAAATGTTAGTTAGAGGGAAATTAATTATTATTTTCAAATAAGAATTTCAAGTTTTCCAAAGAACTAATTTCCTCATGATTCTGGTCTCGAAAAATAACTGTTAATCAAAATCTGGTCCCCGGTGGATCAGCGGTTAGTTTATGGACATACAACGTTAAAAAAATTCAAGGTTCGATTCCCCGTGGTGGACAAATAGCCCATTGCGCAAAAAAGGAAATCCCAATCTGAATATCTTAAATAAATGCCCAATTATACCATAACCACCACCCCTTCTCTTCAGTAATTCACACGTTCCTATACTACTGGTGTTATGCGTAGTCAACTGCGTATTCTAACTTGTTCTTGTAAAGTATGCTTGACAAACCACGTGAAAAACTCAGGGATTTCATATTAAGTTTAATGCTATATTTAAGTTTTTAAAACTTTTTTGTGAACTTTATAAAAAGTACTGAAGCACTCTATGTAATTTTTATGGGGAAAAAACACATTTTGGAACAGTATAACGCAATTACGTTTAAATCAATGATCAAGTCTTCAATCTAACTCACCAAATCGAAACGTAAAGCTCAGATCGAGCTATTCAAATAGAGATAATGCTTCAAGTTAGTGTGAACTCAGGCTCTGACTTCACAAAATCCTGCTTTTGTTAACCCTAATCAAGCAATGTGTATTCTGAGGTACGGTTCGTAGAGTAGCAGTGTCATTACCATTAATTGGATATGTCTACTCTATATAGCGTCACGTGACACAAGACTAACGAATCGTTTAAGGTGTAATGGCTTTACATGTCGTACTTTAGGTAATAAGCAGTTTCCTTTAATTTCAAAATCTACATTTTTTTACTCTCAATTCACATTATAATCTCTAAGAAAGGATACAAGTTAGTCTTGGAATCACAGATACTCTAAGAGAGGATACAAGTTAGTCTTGGAATCACAGATACTCTAAGAGAGGATACAAGTTAGTCTTGGAATCACAGATACTCTAAGAGAGGATATAAGTTAGTCTTGGAATCACAGATACTCTAAGAGAGGATACAAGTTGGTCTTGGAATCACAGATACTCTAAGAGAGGATATAAGTTAGTCTTGGAATCACAGATACTCTAAGAGAGGATATAAGTTAGTCATGGAATCACAGATACTCTAAGAGAAGATACAAGTTAGTCTTGGAATCACAGATACTCTAAGAGAGGATACAAGTTGGTCTTGGAATCACATATACTCTAAGAGAGGATATAAGTTAGTCTTGGAATCACAGATACTCTAAGAGAGGATATAAGTTAGTCATGGAATCACAGATACTCTAAGAGAAGATACAAGTTAGTCTT